CGCGCAGTCCCTTCCAGCCGCAGCAGAGGGGCAGAGTCCGAGAAAGGCGTGGCTTGGCGTAAGGGAGCGTTCCCAGAGAAGACTGAGATGAGAGGGAGAGGAGGTTCTTAGAGCGAGGTGAGGGCGGGGCTAGTTGGAGGTGAAGGCTGGGCTTAGTGGGGCGGGCTCTCATCCTTCTCCGAGGGGGCGGGACTTGCTGAGAAGGGCGGGGTCTCAGAGGAGTCCCTGGTGAGGGCGGTGCTAAACGCAGAAAGGGAGGGGGAGGGGTCTAAACTGTATTAGGTGAGGGGCGGAGTTACCAAATAGGGCGGGGCCTCAGGGGAGTCTGGGGCGAGGGGCGGGGCTTAGTAAGTAGAGCGGTTCTCAGCAAGGCTGAGTTTGGGGCGGGGCTTGGTCAAGAGGCGGGACTTGTAGGGAAAGGGCGTGGTCTCAGAGGAGACCGTGGTGAGGGCGGCGCTAAGCGGAGAAAGGGAGGGGTCGCAGCTGTCTGAGATAAGGGGCGGTATTGTCAAGTAGGGCGGGTTCTCAGCGGAGTCTGAGGCGAGGGGTGGGGCTTTCAAGTAGGGTGGTTCTCAGTTCGGGTTGAGGTGAGGGCGGGGCTTGACAAAGGGGCGGAGCTAGCGGAGAAGGGGCGGGATCTGAGCGGTATTAGGGTCGGGCGGGTTTATCTAGTAGGGCGGGTTCCCAGCAGACTCTGAAGGGGCGGGACTTGCGAATAAAGGGCGGATTCTCAGCGTAGTCTACGGAGAGGGCGGCAATAAACCGAGAACGGGGAGGGATCTCAGCAGTCTGCGGCGAGGGGAAGGGCTTAGCCAATAGGGCGGGTTCTCAGCTCTGTCTGAGGTGAGAGCGGGCTTGGAGGAGAAGGGGCGGGTTCTCAGAGGAGTCAGGCGGGGCTCGTGGAGAAGTGTACAGTCTAAGGTCATTCTGCTACTGCAGGTGGCAGAAGGGGTGAGAGTTGAGACTTTGTGTGACTGAGTGCGTGATTCTGCAGAGGGGGATGGCCCAGGGCTGCTGGGCGTGTCAGTTGGGGCGGCTCGCGCGTCAGCTTTTCGTTAAGCTTCCCGTACTGCCTAGAGACCGGAAGCGTCCCTAGTTACCAGCAGCCACCAAGGTGCGAGCGCTAGTCCTTGATGTGTCTCCTTGATGTCTGTGTCCCTGTTAGCTCACCAAGCTCGATCCTTGATGTTAGTGTTTGAGACTATGATTATTTTAATTTTTTTTTTTTTTTTAGGAAAGGAAGAGATGAGGTGAGCCTAGATTAGCCTCGGAACTGGCTATGTAGTCAAGGGTGACTTTGAACTACTAGTCCTTCTGTATCCACTCCCAAATGTTGGGGTTAAAGGAGTGAGCCACCACGACGCCGGGCTTGGAAATTTGATCTTTGCAAGCTAAGCTTTGCCACAGCAAGAACAGCCACCATTCTGCATCTGATCGCCTCCTCCCTCGCACTCACGTTGACCACCTCTGTGACCAGCAAATCAGCATATGTTTCACCTGCAGAAAGGGAGTGTCGTTATTAGCGTTGGGAGTAGTGAACACGACATAGGAACTAGACAAGAGTCGGACTTTTTCTGCTCTTTGCCAAAGTAGAAATTATCCCTACCTTTGAAGGACCAAGAAATCAATACTTGTGTTAAAAGCTGAAACAAATAAAACGTCCACTTGGATGAAAAGAGAAAGAAGCGCAATTCCCTGGCGTCAGAACTTTTACTTCCCACGGATGAAGACAGACCTGACCAACCCTGAAGGAGGGGCAGGCTGTAACGAAATGTAAAGCAGTGAGGGTGTATCATGCTCTTCCTATTTTCTTCATATAACACACATATCAACGTCTTTGAAAACCTTTTCCACAAAAGATATCTGCTGGCTGTCATCAACTCTGTCAACTGGAGATCGAAGGCTTGGTCCCACAAAATTCCCCACTATTTGTGGTGGAAATTCCAAACTTTGGCGATTTTGCCTGTGTTTCTGACTCTACAGGATTTCCACGGCCCTCGCTTCCTAAGTTCTATTAATTTGCTAGAGTGAGAGATACCAAGGAAACAGAGGGTTTGATGTTGTTTATAGGACACTTTAAAGAACACATATGAACAGGTGGAGATAGTTAAGGCAAAATCCAGAACTCTGAGAATGGGAGCTTCTAACCCCACAGACAAGTGTATCTCTCTCCCAGCACCCCAGCACATGTTGGTCTTTTTGAAACCCTTGAAGTGTTTCGTTTAGCTTTATGGGGTGGGGGTGGGGGAGCTAGTGCTTCATTAGGTAGGCAGGATTGAGTAAACCATCTGCTACTGCTAACCCTTTATCCTCCTGCCCCATGGAGCTGTAAGTCGCAGCTGTCATAGCGCTTGTTTGGTTGCTCTGGCAACTAGCTACCTCCCTGTAGTCATACAAAAACCATAACAGATCACTGGGTGATCTTTCTGGGTAGAGTGGCTCATTCCTGTAATCTCAGCCCTTGAGGAGCAGAGGCAGGAGAATTGCCACAAATTCAAGGCCAGCTTTGGTTTCATTGTGAGTTCCAGGCCAGCCTAGGCTAGAATGATGATCCTGTTTCAAAACACTTTTAGCTCCCAGGAGCTGGAGATGCAGAAGTGAAGAAAAAAATAAATTTTCAGAACAAAGCTTTCAATCATCTTATTTGCAGAAACTCATACAAGATTGAAAAGACCTTTTTCTAAATAACAAGACTGCATTTCCACTTCTTTAAATGTTGAAAGAATAGATAGGTGGGTGATAGAAGGGTAAATAATATATGATAGACGAGTAGGCAAATATACGTGAATTAATGATTCGTGGGGAGGGAAATGATGGATGGGTAGACAGACAGAAGCCTCCTCATTGATCTCACCATCTAGACATCTTCTCTTCTGACTTTCTGCACTTTTTCAAGTTCCTAGGCAGAGGACAGGATGTTCTAATCCTGCAGCTGAGGTAAGGCACAGACATACTGAGCTCCTTGGGTTTGTGTTTCTACAGTGGGGGAGGGGATGCCGGCATTCAACTGGCACACTTAAACCGTGCTGTCGGGAAGGAAGCTAAATTGCACTGAATTCAATGTCTATTAAAGCGACAGAGGTAGCTCAGTGCTAAAGCACGATAGTGGTGAGGACATCGATTGTATCTAGGGAATAAAAATATTTTTTAAAAAATTGGGATGGTGCTTACCTGCACCTTGGCTATGTAGTTGAGGCCCTGTCTCAACAAAACAATGAATAGTGAAATTTATTATATTTCTGTCCTGTAAAACTGTCCACAGGGAGTCAGAATATATCAGAAGATATTGACCCAATCAGGGGTAACACAAGAAGAGATGAAAGGATTTTTAATAATCTTGGGTAGAAACACAAAGGTACTAAGAGACGTTTTACAGTACTACAGTGCCACCTGCTGGGCAGGGTGTTCAACTACACCTTGCTTGTTTTATTTTTTTGGTTTTGGTTTTGGTTTTTTTTTTTTCAAGACAGGGTTTTACTGTACCTTTGGAGCCTGTCCTGGAACTCTCTCTGTAGACCAGGCTGATCTCGAACGCAAAGAGACCCTGCCTCTGCCTCCCGAGTGCTGTTTTTTTTCTGAGACAGTTTTTCTCTGCGTAGCCCTGTCTGTTCCGGAACTCACTTTATAGACTAGGCTAGCCTCGAACCCAGAGGTCCGCCTGCCTCTGCTGGGATTAAAGGCATGCACTAGCACGCCATACACTTTTCTGGAAGGTCTGGGGTCCAGTGATGTTCCTGTCTCAATCTTCCAAGTAACTCTACTCCACGCCACCACACCCAGCCAACCTGTGATGTCGCTCTCATAATGTAAGTCTTTCTCCCATGCTTCTCCAGGCCAGACATACAAGTTCTGGACAAGTTAGTCCAGACTTAAGGCCTCGCAAAGAAGTGTGGGGTTTTTTTGTTTGTTTTTGTTTTTTTAAGATTTATTTATTAAGCTTTATTATTTATTTATTAAGATTTATTAATATGCTTAAGATTTATTTATTAATTATTTATTATTCTGTCTGCATGTATGCCTTCAGGCCAGAAGAGGGCACCAGATTTCATTTACAGATAGTTTTGAACCTCCACATGGTTGCTGGGAATTGAACTCAGAACCTCAGGAAGAGCAGCCAGCGCTCTTAACCTCTGAGCCATCTCTTCAGCCCGAGAAGGAATTCCTTAACCCACTGATAACAGTGTGTTCACCTACTCAGAAGGCTCAGCTTTCAGACCAGTTCTAATTTCACTGGCAGGGATGATGGGAAACGTCCTTCTCATGCACTCCTAAAAGGCCACCAGCTCAATGGGATTTTTATTCCCAGAGGTCTCCTAAGAAGCTGGGTCCAATTCGCTGATTTTGTGACTGACAGCTAGTAGCAGTTGGATGGTGACAACGGTCCAGGCCCAACAACAGTTCTCAAATGGGGCTGCAGTGAGTTTAGCTGCACCGTATAAACATCTACTGTTAGAACTCTAGCCTGGAGATAATACTGAGGATGTAGCTGGCCGCTACCGCTGCCACAAAACAAAACAAACCAAACAAACAAAAAAAAAACACATGGAATATGCTCATCAGAAACATTTTAAATCATCAGAAACTCAGAAGCAACCTGAATATCCAGCAACAGAGAAATGGAGAGACAAACATCGTGGATTTTCACAGGGTGGCCACACTGAGGTGACAGCATCAGCTGATGTGCCAACACACAAAAATCTTTTTTTAAAAAAGAATCATGAAGACACAAGTCAGAAAACATTGAAGAATGTGATTCCTTTGGTGAAGTTGAAAAAAATTAGGCATGTCTTTTGGGATGGTGGTACCGTGGCAAAGCAGCAAGGAAGAGTCTAAGAATATGCCAAACCTACACGCCAGCTGCTCAAGGTACTCATGGTGCGGTGCGTCGGCTAGGCTACATTGTTTTCTTGTCCCTCTTTTTGTTTTGTTGTTATTTTATTTTATTTTTGAGTCAGGGTTTCTTTGTGTAACCCTAGCTGTCCTGGAACTCACTCTGTACACCAGGCTAGCCTCAAACTCAGAGATTCCCCCTGCCTCAGTCTCTAGAGTGGTGGGATTAAAGGTGTGTGCCACCACCACCCAGTGGATAGATTGTATTTCAGTCGGACCCAAGCTAGAACCATCTGAACATCTTCACTGGGGGATAGCCTCCATCGGAGTGGTTAGAGGGAAGTGTATGTATGGGGCCGATGTGGGAGGGCTAGGTCTCGGGCGAGGGTGGGGCACCCCTTGGAGGTGCAGTTGTAGCTATTTGTCCTTCACACTGCCTGCCCGCAAAGGCCCTCCACCCTGAGGGACACTGCTTTGTTACAAATCAGTTTCTTAGGATAGCATCTCTCTCATTAGAACATCAGCTTCCTTTCCAGAAGTCCCCAGAAGATTGCAGCAGCCAATACAGAGACACACAGATCACTCTGAGATGCACAGGAGGTTGGAAAATTCGAATCTGCTATCTTCAGATTTTGTTTTGTTTTTTGAGATAGGGTTTCTTTCTGTAGCCCTGGCTCTCCCGGAACTAGCTCTGTAGACCAGGCTGGCCTCAAACTCACAGAGAACTGGCCTGCCTCTGCCTCCAAAGTGCTGGGATTATAGGCCTGTGCTACCATGCCAGGCCTCTTGTCAGATTCTAAAGCAAGAAGCAGATGCCAGCAATTGCTGGGTATGGCTGGTGGGTAAGCAGCAAAAATCTACCTGTGACATGAGACAAAGGATGACCCCAAACAATCTAGACATGTAGAAACTAAAATGCACTGTCCAAAACCAAGGCTATTCCTGAAATAGAAAGAAACAGCTGAGAGTAGTAAGAATCAGACACTGTGTGAATATATATCACTGGGATTGGGTTACTAAAGATTCCGGCTGTCCAACAGCTGGACAGGCAGAGGTTAGGTGGGACTGGCAGACCAAAAGAGAACGCAAAAGAAGAAGGGGAGGAGTCATAAGAATTTGAGGAAACTCTGAGAGGTGAGCTTGCCGTACTGAGAAAAGGTACCAAGACACATGGCACAGCGTAGATAAGAAATATGGGTTGATTTAAAATGGAAGCGTTAGCTAGTAACAACTGAGCATTTATAATTAATAACAAGTCTCAATGTGGTTCTTTGGGAACTGGCTGGTGGGACAGAAAAGTCCACCGACACCTAAGAGCAAGAAGACCCTTTCCTACAGGTTCCACGTCTTCTGGTCTAGAAGGAATGAAAATACACTGTCTACACAGTGTGAATGTTTTCAACTAGAAACAGAGCCAGACACTGTCACAGGCCTGTAACCCCGTGCTTGTGAGACTGAGGCAGAGGGCCGCCCCAAACTGAAGACCAGCCAGGGCTACACCTGGCCCAGATCCCAACCTTAGAAACAACTGAATTTAGAAACAATTCCTTGGGCTGCAAAAGAATGTGAAACTACTGCCTCTTTTGTAGCTTTGTTTTGTTTTGTTTTGAATCTATTGACTGGGCATTTGGTAGTTTCTTTTTTTTTAATGGTTTATTTGTATTTAAGTGCATTGGTGTTTTACCTGCACACATGTCTGTATGAGGGAGTCGGATCCCCTGGGCCTGGAGCTACAGACAGGTGTAAACTGTCATGTGGGTGCTGAGAATTGAACCCAGGTCCTCTGGAAGAGTATCCAGTGCTCTTAATCGCTGAGCCATCTCTCCAGTTCCTCACTGTTTTAAGACAGTGTGTTACTCTGTAGCCCAACATGGCCTTGAACTTGACTCGACCCCAGCCTCAGTTTCCCAAGGACTGGGATTAGACGCTAATGCCACCATGCATAGCTGATTCTAGTTCTGGGTCCTTCATTCAGTGTGTTTGAGTACTCACTCAGGTTTCCATACACAAGCATGTGTTCAAAGTCTGTACACTACTCCCCAGAATTAAAAACAATGTATGTGCTTTGAATTCTGAAAAGGGCCGGTGAGATTCCTCAGTGGGTAAGCCTGACAGTCTAACCTCGGCCTCTGGGACCCACATGAAGGAGGAGAGAAACGAGTGCCTCTACAAAGTGCCCTCAGACCTCTACACATGGACTGTAGTATTTGCATGTGTGTATCTACACACACACACACACACACACACACACACACACACACACAGAAATTTTTATAAAATTCTTTTCATTCTCCTGGATATCGCTTTTTGGGATGGGGTTGCTGTTGCTTTCTGACAGGGTCTCACTGTGTAGCTGGCTGGCCCGGATCTCACAGAAATTCACCAGCCTCCGCCTCCCAAGTGCTAGGATTCAAGGCGTGTGTCAGCACACCCTGAATCTAGTGTTCCCTTTCTCAGCATGTAAAAGTATTGGTTCGTTGTTTTTTGTTTTTTTTTTCTTGCCAGTCATGGTGTCTGCAGGATTTACTTCATGGTTAACCCAGGAGTGATTTAGCTTCCTCTTCCCTGTGACTACAGCTGGCGTGGTAGCACGTACTTTTAACATCCCAGTATTAAGAAGGCAGAGGCAGGTAGATCTTTATGGGTTCAAGGCCAGCCTGGTTTACATGGCAAATTCTGGGCCAGCCAAGGCTACACAGAGAGACTGTGTCTCCAAAACAAAACAACAACAACAACAAAACACCACAAAAATCCCATAACTAGATTCTGGAATGCGCTGGGAGACAAAACTATTTCCCAGTGTTCCTGTTTGTTTGGTTTAGAAAACTCTAAATAGAGGCATCTTATTTACATTTAGCTTCCCTTTCTCCAGGACGCACATGCTGTGATTATCCTAAGCTAATGGGCTCTCGGTATCACTTCCGTTCATGTGATTGCTTGCCAGGATCAATTCCCTGATGATTAATAGTGGATAGGTGCCGAGGGACGACTTTTCTACATTTACTACATTCACACGTGTTCCTCTATTGCAGTCTCGGATGTAGAACGGCTGTTGGAGCACGGTTTACGCTCCTCCCACATCCCTTATACTCATAGGGCTTTTCCTTAGGACGGATGACCTGATGTTGAATCAGCTGAGAGCAATGACTGAAGGCCTTCCCACATTCCTCACGGTCACACAGCTTCTCTTCTGTATGGGTTTTATAATGCACTGTGAGATGTGAGACCCGTTTGAAGGCCCGCCTGCAAACCTCACACTGGCAAGGTTTCTCTCCAGTGTGAATTCTCTGATGGTGGCTAAGAGTGGATCCTTGATTAAAAGACTTCCCACAGTCTTTTCACTCAAAGGGTTTCTTGCCAGTATGAGCAGTCTGATGTTGAATCAACTGAGATCTGCGACTACAGGTCTTCCCACACTCCTGGCACCCATATGGCATTTCCCCAGTATCAATTCTGTGATGTACTTTAAGATGTGAGATCCGGTTGAAGGCCTTGCCACAGTCGGTACTTTGATAGGGTTTCTCCCCAGTATGGATTTGCTGATGTTCGATCAGTTGTGAGCTTCGACTGAAGGCTTTAGCATAGTCTTTACATGCATAAGGTTTCTCACCTGCATGAACCCGCTGGTGTTGTATGAAATTGGAGCCAGAACTGAAGGCCTTCCCACATTCTTGACACTCATAAGGCTTCTGGCCAGAATAGATTAGTCATGAACCATATTTAAAGGCCTTCTCACATTCCCTACATTTGTAGGGCTTCTCATTAGGAAGAATTCCTTGATTACTGAGGAACTCCTCTTGCCAGAAGTCCTTTTTGCGTTTATTATTCCTACAGGACTTTGTTTGGTAAACGGTAAAAGAGGCTTGCCAGTTTAAAGTGGGCATTTTTTCATGACTGATTAACACAGGACTGGCATTTCTGCCTGAACTTCCTGGTTGTCTGTCAAACAGGTCTGTGCCCTCCCAGTCATCTGGGACACTCAAGTTTATAAGGCTTCCCACTGTCTTCCACTGTGGTGACTCCACTTTATTAATGTGTTGCTTTGAGGGTAGCATTTTGGTACCATATCCCGATTCTGATGCTGAAAAATAAGAGGAACAGAAAACAGTTACTTTTCTTTTTCCAGAAAAAGAAAGGACGTTGAAAGCTGGCGGGTTCTCAGGAGGGCACCTCTGCTTGCTCCTCCTCCCTGCCACTGCTCGGCATTTTTGTCAGGGTTCCCAACTTGGTGTCTGTCACACACAAGTGCCCCATGATAGCTGGAAAGGCAGGAGCCTTCTGACATGTGACGGCGTGTGGGAAGCCAAGCAAGGCGGGGGGGCGAGGGGCATGGAGAGTCATTTCTGTTTGTGGGTGAGCTGGCAGATTAAGAACCACCCCGATGTTTCCTAGATTCTAACTTGTGCTGATGGCCCAGCATCTATAATCACCTGTCCATAGCTTTTATTCCCTGTGACTAATGACCTTTCTGGTTTCTTTTTTTTTTTCTTTCCTTTGTTTCTTTGGGTTTGGTGTTTTGAGACAGTGTTTCTTTATGTAGCCCTGGAACTAGCTCTACAGACCAGGCTGGCCTCAAACTCACAGAGATCTGCCTGCATCTCCCTCCCAAGTGCTGGGCTTAAAGGCGTGGACCACCACCGCCTAGCCACTAGTGATCTACTTAATAAATCCTTGCCAGACTTTAAAAAGGTATTCAACACTCTACACTCTTGATTATGGCGAAGCAATTTGAAATCAGAAAGGTGGAGGAGGCAACACTGGAAATGGAAAGTAGCATGAACTCAGTGTTACATGGGCTCTAAAACATCCATGTCGCTCTGAGCCACGCTTAGAGAAACACTAGTAGAGTATACGAAAACTGAAATATAATCAGGAGTGATTTCTGCAAATGACCAGCTTCCTGGTAGGGATTCAGGGGTGGTGCAGGAAGGGGTACAAAGGACATGCCCACTTGACTTAGTGGTGGTAACCCAGGTACACAGGTGTACAAACCTGCCAGCATCCATACATACAGCCCTTAGCAGGTAGGCATTTTATAGCATGTCAATTGCACACTGCAAAATTCGTGAGGATTTTGCCAGGTGCACTGAAGATGGATCAGGTGAAGGCTGCCAAACAACATCAATGTTCTTTTTTTAAGATTTATTTATTTATTTAATGTGTATGAGTGCTCTGTCTGCATTTATGCCTGCACGCCAGAAGAGGGCATTAGCTGTAACTATAGATGACTGTGAGCTACCATGCAGTTGCTGGGAATTAAACTCAAGACCTATAGAAGAGAGGCCGGTGCTCTTAACCACTGAGCCATCTCTCCAGTCCATGAATGTTCTTAATATTGCTGAACTGTATGTTTAAAAATGGTGAAGATGTTTTGAGTGTCTTTATCATAACTTCCATAAGAAATGATGGGAGGGGTGTGTGACTGTATCCTTGACCTGCCTAAACATTTAAGAGCATGTTATGTAAATGGGCACACATGCATCTACCAAGACATGGTAACAATGCAGCAGCTACCCTTAGGTCCAAAGCCAGAGGGCACACATCTGTCTACCAAGACACGGTAGCAATGCAGCAGCTACCCTTAGGTACATCTAGTCACCGACTCCTCCTGTGGTTTCCTCTACTATGAAGTGTAACCATGACCACTGTCAACTCCAAAGTAGCCCCTCTTGAACTTTTCCATGGCTTAAAGGGAATGATGGAAAAAGAACGACCTTGTGTTTAGAGCTCAGTTTACTGGTGAGGGGTGAGACCCTTCTACAGCATCACGTTTTGATCCTATTCTGATCATAAGCAAAAACTGCACGGGGGCAGGCAAGATAGCTCAGTGGGTAAGTGCACCTGCCACACAAGCCTAACGACCTGTGCTGAATCTCGGGACCCACAAGAAGTCAGGTGCACTGGGTCAGATCTATGATCCCAGCATTCCTACAGTTGGATGAGAGGCAAAAACAGAGTCACCTGGAAGCTATTCTGGATTGTGCAGTATGGCCAAAACGAGAACCTCTGCCTCAGTAAGGCTAGAGAGTCACTGCAAAAGTTACCCCCGACCTCCACACAGCTGCCTCAGCATGCATGTACTGGCATTCACGCACGCGCAATAAAGGAAAATTATTTGTAAAGGCCCCATGGTGTATTCCATCCAATTCTGCCTGGCATATGACTTCAATCACAGTGGCAAGCGACACGGCAGCTGCCACCACCGACCTCACTGGTAAAAAGACTCATTTCAATGATTGATGATGCAAGAAGCCATGGACAGAAGTGATGAGTGCCTCTGAATACACTCATCAGGTTCATGAAGCAGACGAGCCCAGGGGACTGCACAGGCACCGCCGCAGCACAGGCAGTGCGGCACATCGCTCTCTCTTTCTTGTGACTGTCCTGAGAGAAAGCTTCAGGAGTATAAAATGCTTGTAGAGTGGAAGGTAAGGATCGCTGTCAACGAGGCATCAGCTTCTGTGAGGAAGACGCCGGCTGCTTTCACCCCAAAAATGTTTGCCACAAACAAAATCAATCCCCATGACACTGAAGAATGAAGCAGCGTGAAAAGGCCATCAGGTAGAGACATACGAGGAAAGTGATAGGTGTCTACTGTGATCTAACCAGCTGCAGAGTCAGACCCCAAATATTAGGGTGCCCGCTTCCATACTGACCCACTCAAAGGCCAGGAAAGCTGGCTGTCATGTTACAAAGGAAGGAAGCTAAGAGGACAGCCAGCCAAGGACATTTAGGTTTTGTCTATTTGGTTCTGTTTGTTTTTCAAGACAGGGTTTCTCTGTGGAACAGTCCTGACTGTCCTGGAACTCACTCTGTAGAACAGGCTGGCCTTGAACTCAGAGAGATCTGCCTGCCTCTACCTTCTGAGTGCTGGGATTAAAGGCATGTGCCACCACCTCCTGGCGTGGTCAAGGATATTAAACTACCAGCCTGATGGACAGAAGACTGTGTGGACAGCCATGGACACACATGGACACAGCTGCAGGAATTACAGTGACCATCTAGTGCTATGTGGCTACAGAAATGCCTTTGAAAGGATCCCTTTCTCAAAAATGCCATTTTCTCTCCCACATCCACCCAGCATGATGGTTTATTCGAGGGTCACTTTTCCACTCTTCTAAGTAAGGCCATCCTAATTCTACATAAAACATTCTGGCTGGGCTGTGATGGTGCACACCTTTAATCTCAGCACTCGGGATGCAGAGGCAGGTGGATCTCTGAGTTTGAGGCCAGCCTGCTCTACAAAGTGAGTTCTAGGATTACTAGGGCTATACTCAGAGAAACCCTGTCTCAACAAAACCAAACCAATCTATCTGAAGAGTGTTATACTGGCGATTGTACTAATTAATGTTATACTAGTCCTGCTCAACTCATAAAGCTGCAAAAATGGCAACAATGCTGAGGTCTCCCGAGTTTCTAGTTCCTGACAAGGTCTGTCACTCACCTGAACACTGGCCTCCTGCTGTGCCCCTTTCCTCTATCCTTGCTTGCTCTAGGATGGATATCACATCATGTTTGGATATGGTGAGACCTAAAGAAGAGGAAAAAAACACATCATTGGTCATGCTGAGAGGCCTTGGAATAGCGATCCAGGGCTCTTTCACTGAGTGGGGGAGGGGACGACAACTACAGAAAGCACCAAAAGAAAATGCAGTAGAGTAGTGGAAGGCAGGACTTTAAGCAACTGGCTGCCGTTTGTACACTCAAAAGTGACCAGTCATGGAACAGAAAGGTACCCAATAACTGACAAGGAAGGGGCGCGCCCAGGAAGATCCAGACTAACAGAGCAGACCACTTTACCCAGAGAGACCAGATGGCTATCGTTCTCCAGCATCACATCGCTGTAGAGATCCCTCTGAACAGGCTCGGGGTACTCCCATTCCTCTTGGGAGAAACTTATGATCACATCCCTGAACAGTTCTGAACCCTGAAACAAGAAGTATGAACGACGCATAATGACGCATGGATATTTCATTCAGGGAATGTTTCCCAGTGGGATGAGAGGACTTGGAGGTCTCTGTAGAAAGGTTTTGTTGTTGTTGTTCTGGTGAACAACACAGCTGGGGCTGGCTGTCAACCAGAAAATGAGCACAAGGAAGGCAGAGTGTTTGAATACTTTCATACATTCCATGTACTGCAGACCAACATTTCTACGTTCATGTCTGAGATGAAAATTAAAAAGTTAAATGGAGTTTTCATAAATCCCCAATTCAGGTTAGAAGTATCATTTCTATTTTATGTCAAAGATACTTGAAGAACTTGTCCCTAACTATTTTAAGAAAATGTTTTGTAAAAATGTTTTATAGCCACATGGTACCTCAAGCCAATAATCCCAGCACTCCAGAAGCTGAAGCAGGTGGATCCCTGTGAGGCTGAGGTCAGCCTGATCTCCATACTGAGTTCCACGCCAGCTAGTGCTACACAGTAAGACCCTGTCTCAAAAGAAAAAGTTGTGTATCTTAAAGGGATGAGCTTCATCTAAGTCAAGAGGTTGTTGCCAAGCTCAGTTCAGCACTACATCAGAACACAGCCAATGGGAAATGAAGAATACTTTACCCACCGTACAGTTTCCTACGTGAAAAGCATAACTAAATACATCATCGTTTGGGACCAGAGCACGGATCTGATCTCCAAAACTCTTCCGAGCTCTGAGAACCCTCCCACCGACCCATCAGGCTGAGAATCTCACTTGCTATTCCCATGATCCTGAACTCTGTACTTCTCCTCTGCTTAAGTTGAAGAAGCTAATGCAGAAAGACCTAAATGCTTTGGTGTTACCGCAAATCAGACTCTGGCATCTATACCTGGATTCCCAGTTAGGTCTCCGCTACGCCCAAATGTCAATCTCTTCCAAGGTAGGACAATAAACCACAGGCTGAAAGGTGACTAATGCCACATCCCTGTTTCCCTGTGATCACTCTCTTATTTGAAAGCTTAGCACCTACAAGGATGCTCCCATCTCACACAGGGAAACTGAGGTCCACTCAGAAAATTTCACTACACAATGAATCTGTATCCCTACAGGAAGACATGCGTCAGAAAAGACAGAGCAACAAGAAAGGGCCTAGCTTGGGTCTAGTGGTGGTGGTGCACACCTTTAATCCCAGCACATGGGAGGCAGAGGCAGGTGGATCTCTAAATTTGAGGCGAGCCTGATCTACAGAGTGAGTTCCAGGACAGCCAGGGCTACACAGAGAAAACCCTGCCTCAAAAAACCAAACCAGGGCCTAACCTATCATCCTACCATTTCTTCTACTCCCTAAAACAGACTTCGGAGGACCAGATTAACTGGTGGGACCTGGGTGGGAAATTTCAGGATAACAAATATTTACATGATTTTCAAATTCACCAGAGGCATGACTTCCAGGAGTTCAAGGACTGATGAGTGTTCCTCCAGGTTTCTCTCCTGGGGAAGGACAGAGTCCTTAGATGTCAGAGTTGAGGGAGGAAAGAGCAAACACGGATATCTCAGCTTACCTCACAGCTCCCTGGATGCCAGGGTTTTGCCCATACCAGTCTCTCTGGCTGTCCATTAACTTGCAGAGAGCTAGGAACCGTCACCCAACGGCAGCCAACTTTAGCTGCTGCCAAGGAGGTACAGCATGAGGGATCCTTTCTCCCCCACTCCCCTTAAATACTGCAGGTAGTGCAAACTCAGGGGTCCTCAGACCTGTTCCAGTGATGGAGAGCCATGCAGTACTCAAAGGACTCAGCCATTTAATCTCCCATACATCCAGTGGAACCACTCTGAAGTCACCCTGACTATTTCTCCAGCTTCCAAATTCACAAAGAGCTCTAAAGCCCAAAGGGGGCCTACCATGAGTCAAGACATAGGTGAAGCTGCAGAGGATATTCAAGACAATTAGATGGAGCAGGACCATGTTGTACGAATGTTGGGTTCCATCATCATTACATAAATGGACCATTCCAGAGATACAGCAGCGTGTGAAGTTGCACACACAATCATACCCGTTGAAGAAAAACACAAAATTAGCACATTAATAGGTTAAGTCCACAAGTAGGTAAGTGAGGAATCATGTTTAGCACAGCCATAATAATAGACTATGACACCAGTAATCAGACTTGAGTTTGAGGGGCAAGAGATGGCTCAGTGGTTAGGAGCACTTGCTGCTCTTGCAGAAGACGTGGGTTCAGTTCCCAGCATCCACATCAGGCACATCACAACTGCCTATAACTCCAGCTCCAGGAGTTTCCATATCCCCTCCTGGACGCCTCAAGAAACTGCACATCAGTTACGAGGGAAAGTTATTCACAACTAGATTATTTGCACAATTATACGAACATTCAATAAAAAGAAATCAACCACTACTGATACATGGGTTTAAAACAAGAAAACAAAGCAATGGAAGAGAACGGCACTGTGGGTGGCTAATGAAAGAGTTCAGTGGATAAAGTGTGGCAATATGAGTTTGATTCCCATGACCTACATGGTGGAAGGAGAGAACCCATGGTGGGGGGGGGGGAACAAATGCTACTTTGTAAGGATCATAAAGGAATACCTGTCACATTACAAATATTTCTAATTTTAGGTGAAATAATTATGAAAGGCACTTAGTACGATATATGAGAAGTGTGCCCTTATTACAAGCACATTTATAGGCATCATTTTATTACCCGTACAACATCCTATGGTACGGATAGCCCGTGACTCACTCAACAGTTTCCCCGCTGCTGGACAGCGAACCTAAAAAAAAAAAATTATTTAGATGGTCCTGTGTTTTTCCTAAACTGGTGGTTCTATGGTTCTTAATGTTTTGGGGGTCCTGCAATATATATACCTTTAAAAGTCTATATCACACTTGGCTTTGTCTTATTCTTTTCTAAGTGCCTATTAAGCCCTGTGCTAAACTTGTTTACAATGTAGGGGCTGGAGAGATGGTTCAGCGGTTAAAAGAACTTGCTGCCCTTGCAGAGGACCCATGTTGGAGTTCTAGCACCCACATGGCAACTACCAATTTATGGTAACTCCAGTTCCAGAGGATCTAACACCCTCTTCTGGCCTCTGTGGGCACTGCGCGCAAGCAAAACACTCACACACATACAAATAAATAAATCTTTTTTTAAACAATTATTTTACTGTAAATAATTTTAATCAACTCCATTAATACGTTTATATATATGTGTGTGTGTATACATATATATGTATATATACATATATACATGCATACAGTAAAACACTACTTCGCCTCAGAATAAAGAAAGGTAAACATAGTGCTTAAAGCAAAACATCCCTAATTTCAGAAGGTGGAGGTCCCTTATCAAGTTGGCTGAGAAACTGGACACAGGAAGAGGGAACCACCTGAGCGCTAGCCGCGGGGAACGACGGAAAATGTAGTCCAGGACTGGAAAGCCTATAAAAAACGGTTGGGCAGACGTCGCGATTAGTCTGAAGTCTGAGACTCTTGGTCCCCGGCGCCTGCTCCCATACGCTCCGCTGAGCTTCCGGATAGCTCCGGATCCTCCATTTGTTCCCTCCAGGGTCGGGCTACCTACTGCCCACAGCCGGATTACCACATCAATACCAACGGCTGCGAAGGTGGCGCAAGCGCAGAAGCGTCGCTGGTGCTGCTACAGAGTGAGCTTGCGTCGCAGTCGTTTCTGGGAAATGTAGTCTCGAGGGCCTAATCAGGTGTAGCAATATTTTGTGAGCCATGAGACAAGCGCCTATGTGCTGAGATGTGGAAGGGTGTCCGCATCCTGTAGTTTTCTGAAAGTCGCACGTGATTCCTACTCTGGCTATGAGTGCGTGGCCATTGCTGTGTATGCAGTTACTCTTGTGACCATGTGTGGTGTTTGATTTTTAATTCTGTGTGGTTGGTTTAGTATGTGACTGGAACCGGTTAACTGTGATGCACACTTGCGGAAATGTGACTGTAAAGTTTTCCATTTATAGAAGATCTCCAGATAAAACTTCACTTAATGGGGGGAAAAAAAACCTACTGTTTTACACCTAATATTGAAGCACGGTAATTTATACACCAGAAGACAAGAAATAAAAGTTGGTTTTGATATGATTAGCCATGGTGTATCTTCACAGCAATAGAGCACTGATTAAGAGTATTTTATTTTACGCCCAGGTATGCAACCCTGGGTTTGTGTATGTGCACTCCATGAATTCAGTGCCAACAGAAACCAGAAGGGCGCACAGATCTGCTGGAACTGGAGTTACAGGCAGCTGTGCACCACCATGTTGGTACTGGGAACCAAGCGTGGGTCCTCTGCAAAAGCAGAAAATCTTCTGAACCATTGAGCATTCTCTCCAGCTCCAAAGTAAAAATACTCTTAAATAGAAATAAAAGCAACACAGCTTTAAATAGGTGTACTAGTTGAAGATTTTATTCTGTTTAGACATATTATTCCTGTTTACTTAATTATGATTTTCAGTTAAAACCTTTGTGTTAACTATAATTGCATTTTCCCTCAAGATCAAACTTCCCTCACGTAATACCTACCATTAGTAATTTTGGTGGAATAGTTAAATTGTTCCATACACTGAAGTGTAACCAAGTTCCAAAGAAAAAGACATGAATGAGCTATCAATGATAGTTCTCACTAGAGATAAGAGTTAGCTGCACTGTGGTGACACACACCTTTAATCCCAGCACTTGGGAGGCAGAAGCAAGTGAATCTCTGAGTGCTAAAGGCCAGCCTGGTCTACAGAGCGAGTTCCAGGACAGCCAGAACTACACAGAAACCCTGCCTGTCTCAAAAACAAAAACAAATAAACAAACAAGCAAACAAAAAAGAGTTAGTAAAATACCTTCAGAGAAAAGTTGAATATACATGATAGTATAAAGAACTAACCTGCCTCTATCTTAAGCTTAAAAGCCATCTTAAAGTATGTGCAAACTAGGCTCATTCCTGTTTATGGTTAAACCTCCGTTTCTCAAGGATTGGGCTATGCCTCACCTCTAAACTGAATTCAAACAATTCTGTAGCACCTGTTCCAGGAAGGATGTGGAATGTCCTTCTGTATCTATGCTGCTTATAGAATCATTGGGTAATAAATAACGCTGCTTTGGCCTATGGCAGAGCAGAATATTGCTAGGCTGGAAGAGATCTAGAGTAGGCAGAGTCAAGGAGATGCCATATAGCTGCAAAAGGAGAAAGACACATTGGAACCTTACTGGTAGGTCACAGCCTCGTGGCAATACACAGATTAATAGAAATGGGTTAATTTAAGATGTAAGGGCTAGCTAGAAATATGCCTAAGTTACTGACCAAACAGTGCTGCAATTAATATAGTGTCTGTGTGATTATTCGGGTCAGGGCAGCCAGAACAAATGAGCAGTCTCTGTTTACAGAGCAGTCTCTGTTTACACAGGAATTGCAATGGTGTCTTTGTTTAAAAAGCTGTTTATTACCATCTTGCAAACCTATCTTTGTTTCAAAAGGTTTTATGACTGCTTATGACTACCTTGTTTTGACATGACTACCTGCTAATTATGCCCACTTTGCAACCATGTCTTTGTTGGGGGGGCACGACTAACTTGTTATGTTTATTTCCTGCTCCTATAACCCCCCCCCATTTTACTCACAAAATCCCCCACTGGGAAACCCCTACCTTTAAGCTATAAAAGCCTTGTCTCTCTCACATCCAAAGCTGACCTCTTGAACTCGGTCTTAGTGGGAGGCAGTCCGTGTACCTGAATTTAAAAAGTTTGTTTTAATTAAGTCAGCCATAATATTTGGGTTGGTGGTCTTTCTTCTCCCATCTTTGGGATTAACAAATATAACTGAACAATCTCGTTGAATGTTTTGTTTTGAATCAAGACCTGTGTAAGGTAAGAGTAAGGTAAGAACCTGAACTCTGGAAGCTCTAACAGTCTGTGCTCACCTTTCTCAATAAACCATTTAAAGAAATAATACTGAAGTACAGAGAAAGGGGATTTAGTAAACGTGGCCCATGCTGGGCAGTGGTGGCGCACACCTTTAATCCCAGCACTCAGGTGGCAGAGGCAGACAGATCTCTGTGAGTTCAAGGCCAGCCTGATCTACAGGGTGAGTTCCAGGGCAGGCTCCAAAGCTATAGAGAAACCCTGTCTCAAAAAACCAAAACCAAAAAATAAAAACATAAAAAATATGACCATGTTAGACAGTTGAACAAAGTAGACCGGTGACACGCCACACCCCTTGTCCCTAAATCCATTGTCTAGGGTTAAGTAACAAGAGGAGTGCTAAGCAGACAAGCTCCTGTCTGGCTGGTATTCTAGTTTCCTGGGTTCCATGATTTCAGTGGTCTGATAGCTGAAGAATGATTCTACTCTGTATAGACAGTAGTTCTCAATCCGTAGGGCATGCCCTCTTCGCGGGTTCAAGACCCCTTCACAGGGTTCACCTAAGACCATTGGAAAACACAGATATTTACATTACCATTCTTAATGGTAGCAAAATTACAGTTATGATGTAGCAACCGAATAATTTTAAGGTTAGGGTCAGCACAACATGAGGAACTGCATTAAATGGTCACAGCATTAGGAAGGTTGAGAATGGCTGCTGTAGAACACTCATGTTCGACTGCCCAGGCTGATCTCCAAATCTTTGTTTGTTTGAGACGGAGTCTCTCTGCGTAGTTCTCTGTTCTGGAACTCACTATGTGGTCTCAAACTCCCAGACATCGGCCAGCTTTTGCTTCCCCAAGTGCTGGCTGGGATTAGCGGTGTGCGCTACTACACCTGGCTCTGATATCCAAATCTTAATCCTCCTTTTTTCCAATCCCAAAAATCTTTAACCCCAGTCAGGGCTACAGAGAAACCCTGTCTCAAGAAAACAAACAAACAAAAGCAACAATAGCAAAAAGAAATGAGAGAAAAGGTACTACAGAGGGAAATTTAACAAACAAGAAAGGAAGCCAGCAACGTGGGCCCTCAGTGACCTGTCATTTTGGTGGCTCTGGCCAGCATAGCCGCCGGTCAGCACTGCACATGCGTGGTCGAGCAACCTACCTCCACCACTCCTTGCCAGAGAGACCCGCCTGAGCAAGCTGCGCCTGCGCAGTCGGAGTGAGTTCGGCTTTTGAAAACCTGGGAAGGGACAGAGTCCTGCAGAGACTTCTGGCCCCGGAAAGCCGCGCCCTGGTGGGCGTTCCCAGAATGCCTTGCGCCGCTCAGGTCAAGCGCCGGACTCCACCTCCCAGAGGCCCCTGCGCGGAGCCGCTCTGCTGCCGCGCCTTTGTGAGCTCTGTCGGCGCCGCGAGATCGAGCCCCGGGCCCGGCCCGATCTGCCTCAGCGCGGAGCGAGGAGTGACGCGGACGCAGGAGGAGCCCGGTGAGCAGCGGAGAACCGTGTGGGAGAGTGTGTGGTGGGACCCGCGGGACCGTGCGAGACCACGCCACCGTGTATGAGGGGCCTGTGGCTGTACTCCAACAACTGTGTGACGATGTACGCGACATTAGGAGACAGCATCCCATGGACGGGGGCGCCTGCGACTGTGAGACCGAGTGTGCCACTGTGTGATAGCTCTGGGTGTGTGTGTGGGGACTTGAGTGGCAGTGTGAACCTGTGACTGAACCTGCACGTTGTGTGAGCCTGAGGTGGTGGTCGTGTGTGTGGCAGTCTGCATGAGGGGACCTGCGACTCACACTGTGTAAGAGCGAAAGGCTGTGGCAGTGTGAGTGACTGACGGGGTGGGGTTTATGTGAGAATATGGGGCGTGGATCTGAGTGACTGTCGAACCACACCACTGTGTGCGAGTGCCTGTGGCCGAGACTGTGTGCTGTATGGGGCTGAGAAGTTGGGACAGCGTGAGGGACCATGTGGGAGGATGTGTGGCAGGGTTGAGACCAAGCCACTTCGTTTCTGAGTCTGTGGGACACCGTAACAGTGTGTGGCAATGCGTGTGACAGTACATGACTATGCCAGTAGTGTCAGGAGGGCCTGGGATACTTTGTGAGGCTAATACTGCCTATGACCTAGATAGAGGCCATGACAGTGTGTGTGGCAGTATGAGACCATGTCACAGTGTTGAAGGGCCTATGACAGTGTGCGAGATTGAGAGGCCATGACAATGTGTATGATGGCACATACTATACCGCCATGTATGAGAGGGCCTGTGATAGTGTGTGACAGAAAATGTGTGACTAAGAAGGCCATGAGAGGCTCTGAGAATGTACACAAAGCTGAATGGGACTGTGTGAGACAGAACCTAGTGTCAGTGCCTTGTGACATGGTGGCCCCGTGACAGATCGTGAGAACTGCGTCTGACTGTGCCACTGAGCAGACCTGTGAGGGTGAGACTGTGTTTGGGACCTTGTGACATTATTGCAGTGAAGCATTTACTATCAGGTGTGATGGAACCCATGACAGTGGGCCAGAGTGACAGTCTATAAGGCTGCATCACTTACCTGAGACAAGGTAGCTATTTGAGGCAGACAGTGCTGGAGAAGGTGTGACAGTGTGAGATGTCTCATGAAGGGGGCCGTGAGACTGTGTGATTGTGTGGACAGATGTAGTGTACTGTAGACGGGGACCTGCTTGTTCATTCCCAGCTACCCAGACCAGGGAATACTCACTCTGAAACTATATTATTTGCAATATTGTTTGGCCAGTAGCCTATGCGTATTGCTAGCTAGCTCTTACATTTAGAATGAACCCATTTCCGTTATTTTATATTTTACCACAATGCTGTGGCAAGGTTCCAGCTGGCAGCTTGTGTCTTTCCCCTCTGGTGGTTCCATGGGTTCTCCATGACTCCGCCTTCTTTCTCCCAGCATTCAGTTTAGTTTTCCCGCCTAGCTCTATTCTGTTAAGCCACTGGCTGAAACAGATTTATTCATTAACTAATAAAAGCAACATATATATAAAAGGACTTCCCATATCAGTGTTGAATTCGTATTCAATCGAATGAAGCATTTTAATAGATATAGAACTAATAAATATATAGATATAGAGCTTCTTGGCACTGAGTTATATCACTTAAATGATTTATTTTTAAAGATTTTTTTTAATTTCTTATTTTTATTTTGTGTGCATTGATGTTTGGCCTGCATATGTGCCTGTGGGAAGAAGTTAGAACTATTGGAACTGGACTCACAGACAACTGTGAGCCGCTTTATATGTGCTGGGAATTGAACCCCAGTCCTCTGTGCTCTTAACCAAGCCATCTCTCCAGCACTCTTAAGTGATTCATTATTCTTTAAGACAGTAAAGTTTAGTTTTTTAAAAAACTGTGATCACAATGATGGCTGACTCAATGTCCCCTCCCTTTCTGAGGAAATTACTCTTGGGAGCAGTTCGTTAGTGGTGTTGTCCAGATCACAGGGTCCCTCTGATGCCCACTGTGTAAAGAAGTTTCATCTCGTAGCCTATTTGGCATCCTTGTAGAAAGAGTAGGGACATACTTCCTATTAACATCATCACCTGCACACTATAAATTCAGGTCTAGTTTCTAGTTTGGCTCAATTATTTGTTCAATAACTATTGATGCTTTGGGCATCTTCAATAATGAAAAACCTTTGTGTGTTAAAATGGTGGAAGATTTGATAATGCCATTCTGTATTTGCTCTTACTATTTATAATTGTAAGTAAAAGATAACTTGAATAAAATATATGTTGAATTCCAGAGCTATAAAGTACATAGGGAAAAATAATTGTAATTGTTTTTAAACAGGGAGTTTATTGAGAAAGGAAGGGAGAGAGAGAAGGAGGTGGAGAGAAAAAAGCATAAATCTAATGATATCTCAAATGTACATGTGTGATGAGAGAAAGAAAAAGAAAAAGGATGGAAGGCTTCTAGGCTAGTGACGCTGGGGTCACGGGGTGCACCTGGAAATCATGGTTTCTTTTTTCTCTTCAGCTCTGCTTTCTCAGGATATCGCCCCCATCCCAGAAACACAGTCACACATTCTTGAAGTTTTAACGCCATGTCCAAGGTAAGCAGCATTTCTTATTCCCTGAAATGCCACCTTTTCAGCCAAGCAAGAGGCACATTTTGACTTCTGAAATTCAGTAGCCCGACAAAATCTTTTCTATAAAGTGATTGGTCTTGTTCTCCATTGCAACACAGAAGAAAGCCCCCTAATGCCTGAGAGCGTCCCTTATCCCCAGCCACCATTTGCGTCTTTAACCAAGGACTCGTTCCACCTCACCAATGGCTTCAGTGCTCGTAGGAACGCTAAATGAGGCAAAAATATACTCTTGGGTAGAGTCTTAGTCAGAGTTTCTATTGCTGTGAAACTATAACCATGACACTCTTATAAAGGAAAACATTTAATTGGGTGGCTTACAGTTCAGAGGTTCACGCCATTATCATCACAGTGGGACATGGAGGCGTGCAGACAGACATGATGCTGGAGAGGGAGCTGAGAATTCTACATTTTGCATGCAACAGGAAGTGGACTGAATGTTACACTGAGTGAAACTTGAGCAGAAGAAACCTCAAAGCCTGCCCCCACAGTGACACACTTCTTCCAACAAGGCTACACCTACTCCAACAAAGCCATACCTCTAATAGTGCTGCTCCCTTTGGAGGCCATTTTCTTTAAACTACCACAGGTGGGAGCTGAACAGTCTCTTTATGGCTGTTGGAGGTGGAGAGGTGTTCAGCTGTGATTGGCAGCGATGAGCTTTTTTCTACACTCTTGGTTGAGAAAGGAAGTCAGAGGACTTTTGGGTGCTCAGAGTTAGGACATTTGGCAAGAACTCATGTTCAAGATGATTTTGGGTAATCGGATGTATCAAATCTTGATTATTAAAGTGTGGCTCGGCTAAGGTAGGGTGTGTGTGAGTCCTTGTAAGCTCTGACAGGACGATTTTATGAGAATAGTAGAACCTTTAGGGGTGTTCTGATTTGGCAGCAGCCCACAGCTGATACACTAGGTAATCCAGTTCATTAACTAGTGAAGTTACTAAGGAAAATAAATTGAGACAGTGCCTCGGGTAGCCCAAGCTGGCCCTCAGCTCCCTCTGCACCTATGATCTTGAATTCCCAATCCTCCGGCCTCCACTTGTAAAATATACTGAGGTTACAGGCATGTGCCACCACCACAGGCTACAAAGACATTTGTTGGGGGAGGAGATAGAACAGGAAGCAGTTGAGTCTGTATTTTCCTTCCTTTTTGTTTGTTTGTTTGTTTTGTTTTTCGAGACAGGGTTTCTCTGTGTAGCTTTGGAGCCTGTCCTGAAACTCGCTCTGTAGACCAGACTGGCCTCAAACTCACAGAGATTCGCCTGCTTCTGTCTCCTGAGTGCTGGAATTAAAGTCATGCGCCACCACCACCCTGCAAGTCTGTATTGTTAACTATTTATTATTTTTATCTTATGGTCACGGGTGCTTGTTTGCATGTATGTCTATGCAATACATGAATACAGTGCCAGAGAAGGCCAGAAGAAGGCATCGGATCCCCTGGAACTGGAGTTACAGATGGTTGTGAGGGGCCATGTGGGTGCTGGGAGCTGAACCTGTGTCCTTTGCAAGAGCAGGTGGTGCTCTTACCCACTGAGCCATCTCTCCAGTCCATTGCACCTGCATCTTTAAAACATTACAAAAGTATTTTATACAATAACTGAAATAGTAAGTAGTATAAAATAGAGCCAAAGGAAAACACATTTAAAGATGCGTCCATATATAATACCCAGAAACAAGTGCAAATATGCAAACTGTACAAGAATGAAATTTATTCCCCCATTTACTAAACATGTAGTTATTAAGGATTCTTTGAAGTGCTATGATAAATAAAAATAGACATTGTGTTTTCATGGATTTGGTGTCTACTGATTTAATTATATGTTAATATGCTGGGGTATATTACACCTGCAGGATTATTTATTTAGGAAAAGCCTTTCTCCTTACAATTAGGGGTTCTGTAGGTTAAATATGGAAATCATTTTAAACACATTGCTAAATAAAATACAGAGACTAGAAAGGTAAGCCAGACTGAAATTGTCTAAAGCAGAATTTAAATTTTTTCCATCCATGGCCCTCTTTTACCTTAGAAATTTTAAATTAATTTTTTAAAATTTTTGGGTTTTTTTTTCTTTTTTTAGTATGAGTGATCAGTTTGCATGTATGCCTGCAGGCCAGAAGAGGGCATCAGATCCCATTATAGAAGGCTGTGAGCCAAGCCACCATGTGGTTGTTAGGGATTGAATTTAGGATCTCTGGAAGAGTAGCCAGTACTCTTAACTGCTGAGCCACCTCTCCAGCCCCTAAATTAAAATTTTAAAAGTTATAGTTCAGTGGTGACGCATACTTTTAATCCTAACATTTGGGAGGCAGAAATAGGTGAATCTTTTAGTTCGAGGTCAGCCTGGTGTACAGATTGAGTCTCAGGACAGCCAGGGCTACACAGAGAAACCCTGTCTCAGAAAATATTGTATTTCTGTATGCACGCTTGTGCTACTCCGTGGGTGTGGCTAAAGGACAACGTGTGGGAGTCAGTTCTCTCCAACACAT